CGTTAAATTAGCGATAATCATCGTGGCCCCAAAGAAACACAAAACACACGGGCTTTCGGAGTTGGATGACGTCGGAATCGAAAACGGAAATGACCACCCCGGTACCGGTGGCGCGCGCGGCGACCGCCCGGCACGTCGCGCGCGGTCCGCCGCGCCGATTGGCTACCCGCTCGCGTCCTCTTACGTCACGGGCCGGCCCCGGCCAGCCGGCGGCCATGGCGGCCGGAACTCGCGCGCGGCCCGCCATTGTTTCGAAACGCGGAGGCATCCCCGAATGCTCCGCCTGAGACGTCGGCCGAGAGAATCGTCCGCCACGTGCGGCGAGCGTTTCACCGTCTGCTGGAAAGACGACACTTCTTCCCCGGCGCGAGAACCAGCCGGTTCTCCGCCGTGGAGCCCCGCGTTAACGGCGCGCTCCTTTTTAAAGCGACCGTCGTTTGCTCCAATTGATCCTGTTGTCGATTTCGTTGTCGAAAGAAATTTTGCGCCTCTGCAAATGTGCGTCTTGCAAACGCGCCTGCACGAATATCGTCTTAAATATTTTCACTGTGAAGAATATAAGTTAATTTTTGTGACTCGCAGCTTCCAATCGAGAACTTGGACAAAAATTATTCTTGCAAAAGTTTCTCTGGTCCTCGTAAGATCCCTTTTAAAGCGACTGTCGTTTGCTCCAATTGATCTTGTTGTCAAGTTCGTTATCAAACGTGTTACTCATAGAATTATTTGAACGTTCAGCCACCCTTTCTCGACCTCCCTAGGAAAAATTTGCAAAATTCAATTGTGATAAAAGAAACTTTTACAACAGGAGTCACGTATAGTTCTTGAGATATCTGTGACGCTTGTATGTCAATGTTGCAAATACTGCGTGATTAAGTTTTTTAAAAACCGTTGAACTTTCAGTCTACAAAGACTCAACAAACGTCTCGCATTATTTTTACTTATAATATAAACAGTGGTGCATTTGTCACGAGCGAGAATAGAACGTGTTTCATTTAATCTTAAAGTTTAGAATCTTGTAATTTTTATGCTGCGATAAGCTTTCCCTCTCGTTCCAGACTCAACGACCTACAGCTAAAGTGTATCATCAGGGTTTGAGATAGCAATGAAATATTGGCCAATACAGTAGATAGACTTCATTTTAATATAATTTTTATGTTTTCATGTACAAATACATTCACACACATCACACGCATACCATACGCCAGTAACGTTCAGTCAATACTCTCTTGACGTTACTAAAAAGATATGGAAGAGCAAAATGAAAATGCAATAAATTACTTAAATCTTTTCGAATTTTACAATTCAACTGGGACCGGCGACAGACATAATTTGATGCCCGGGGCGAGAATATTGCGTTTCGTATAGAAAAAGAATTTAGACAGTTAGAGAGATGTTGCGTTTCATCTTCGCTTTGAACAACATCGACAGACAATTACGAAAAATTCCACAATATCAGACCGAAGTAACGTACTTAGCGAGTTGTACATACCTAAATTGTTTACAAACTCGCGACAACGGAGGTCGCGTGTTGAGAGAACGTGAGGTAACTATACATTGTATAGCTACGCCGCTAGAACAAGTCTTTCGAATATCGCTGTATTGTTACAACTTCTCTAATATTACAACTCGTCGTGTTTCTCCTCATCTTCGTCTTCCTTCTTCTCATCCTCGGCGTCGATCTCCGAGACCTTCTCGCTGCTCGCCGACTCATCGTCCTGCAATTCCTCCTCCTCGGACACCTCGTCCAAGGAGATGCCCAGGCTCTTCCTCATCAGCTGTTCCACGCTGTCCGCGAAGCTAGCGGTCTCCCGCAGCATGTAGCCCGATCGCAAAGTCGCCGTACGGAACATCATCAGTGCGATGTCCTTGGCCGTCTGATCGGCCGAGTCAACCTCGACTCTGCGCAGCAGCTCCCTGATGAGCGGATGCCTCGGGTTGACCTCCAGAGTCTTCTTCTGGTTCAAGTAGTAGCTCCTCTGCGGATCGTCGGTCTTCTGGTGCGCGTTCGAGATCGCCAAGCGCTCCATATTGCCGGTCCAGCCGAACATGCTGGCGACCAGGGCACAAGGCGAGTCGGTCAGGCGCTCGGACACCTGCGCCTTGCTGATGTGATCCTTCAGGATGTCAGTCAGCCACTTGACGAGAGGCTCAAACGTCGTCTTGAGTTGCTCCATTCGCTCCTTCGCCCGCTCGCCCTCGTCCAGCGTGAAGCCCTCCTTCGCCACGTTCTGGAACTTCTTGCCGTCGAACTCCGGCAGCGCCGATATCGCGTACTCGTCCACCGCCTCTGTCAAGTACAGCACCTCGTAGCCCTTCTTTTCCAGCCGTTCGACGAACGGCGACTTCTTCACCTCCTCCGCGGACGAACCGGCGATGTAGTAGATGTGCTGCTGATTGGCCTTCATGCGGGACACGTATTCGGGCAGGGAGGTCATTTCCTTCTGCGTCGACGAGTGGAAATTCAACATCTTGGACAGCCTCGCGCGATTCTGAGCGTCCTCAATGATACCTAGTTTGATGTTCGTGCTATACTCCTTCCAGAACTGCTGATAATCCTCCTTGGGGATCTTCTTGATCATGTCCAACACCTTCCTGATGAGCTTCTTCTTGATGATCTTGATCAGCTTGTGCTGCTGGAGATTTTCGCGCGAGACGTTGAGCGGCAAATCGTCGCTGTCCACGATACCGCGAATGAAGGACAGGTAATTCGGCATCATGTCGGTGAATTTGTCGGTGATGAAGACTCGCCTGACGTACAACTTGATGTTGTCGGCATTGGTGCCGTAACGATTGAAGCTGTCGCCCGGCTGTACCTTCGGAATAAACAGAACGGACTTAAACGTGACCTCGCCCTCCGCAATGAAATGTATCTTCGCCAGGGGCTCCTGAGTGTCCTTGGTGAGCGTCTTGTAGAACTCGACGTACTCCTTGTCCTCGACCTCGTTCGGCTTCAACGTCCAAATCGGCTTGGAGTCGTTCAACAATTCCCAATCCCACACGGTCTTGTCCACTTTCTTGGGCTTCTTCTCATCCGTCTCTTCCTCCACGTTAGCGTCATCGTCGTCCTCCTCCTTGTCCTCGGTGTCATCTTTCTCCTCCTTCGCCGGCTTGTCCTCGTCCACCTCGTCCGCGTCGACCTGCACAACTTTGCTGTTCCACATATATATGGGGAAATTGATGAACTGCGAGTATTTCTTCACCAAGGTCTTTATTGTGTCCGGCTCTAGGAAGTCCGACGCTTCGTCCTTCAGATGTAAGCTGTAGGTTGAAAAACAAAAGCATCAAGACTACCATTTCTGGCACGCAGTAGAAAATAAAAATATGTATCGTCATTGTGACCGTGGGGCAAACCTCCAAACTGAATAATTTGCTCAAGAATAATTGCACAACGTACCTCACGGTCGTTCCTCTCTTGAGGGTATCGCCCCGTGGATCTTCAACGATGCTGTAGTTGGAGCTGTCGGATTCCCAAATGTACTGCTTATCGTCGTTGTGCTTGGTGGTGACGACGACGACATTCGCGACCAAGTACGAGGAGTAAAAGCCGACGCCGAACTGGCCGATCATGTCGCTCATGTCCTGGGAGTTGGTGACGTCCTGCATCTTCCCCAGGAACTCAGCCGTGCCGGACTTGGCGATGGTCCCGAGGTTGTTCACCAGCTCTTGCTTCGTCATGCCGATACCGGAATCCATTATGTGCAACACTTTGTTGTCCTTGTCCGCCTTTATTCTGATGGCCAGTTCAGAGTTTGTCTCCAGGACACTTTTGTCAGTGAGAGACAACAATCTGATCTTGTCCAGCGCGTCGGACGCGTTCGAGATCAATTCCCTGAGATAAATCTCTTTGTTGCGATAGAGCGAGTTGATGATAAGTTTCATCATGCGATTCACCTCGGTCTGGAAGGCAAATTTCTCGGCTCTGTCCCGCAATTCCTTCACCTGGGCAGTATTTAAACCGTCGATCTTTATCGCCTCCTCTTCTCTCTGTACCGCCTCATGATCTGCAGCAGAATTCAATTGTCATTTGAACGTGCAACGCAATAGTTTAGATTCTTACATATATTAGCTGTCCGACGCAAATGAGACCAATGTCCGTTTCCACCATTGCGGATTGATCTTTTTCCAACTCTTAGGCCCGGTTTCACCGACGTGACGTTGCTCAACTTCAAGCTTAGTTTGATTCATTCCTTGTCTCTTCTCAACTGTTACTTTAGAGAGAGACAAGCACGATTTAAACCAAGTCAAGCGACGTTTGGTGCAACCGGGCCTTAGGTCTACAAGTCTGCGCTGGTGGAACCGGACATAAGGGGCGCAGTTCAGCTTAATTTTCCCAAACGAAATCTTGTTATAATTTACGATAATTACACCTCGGACTGTACATACAAATTCCAAGTTGGCACGAGAGCCGACCAAGCCACACCGCATGCGAGAGAAATTCGACTTTGGTGAGATAAACCCGCACTTATCTAAACTCTATTGCAACGTTGGAATATTTCGGAGCCACGAGTGAGGCTCCAACGGACCCCTCCCACCTGTTACAACACCCCTGTGAGAAAACATGGGACAAACAAGCCGAACAACTGCCCGCGGACGGGAGCGTTTAGGTAGCGACCTGTTCGCGATGCTTCGCGGCTGGCGCCGAGATCATCCTCCACGGTGCTCTCCTCGACCTCGTCCTCGGCCCGGACGAATCCTGGACAGACAAAAAGCGCGTGTTAAGCACCGAGGGTCTTCGCTCCGAGTGGGGGAGCCGAGAAGCTCGCCGGAGCTGACGAGTCGCGGCCGCTTACCCGCCAGCAGGAACAATCCCGCGACCAACAGGTACAGTTTCCTCATCGTCGCCACGAACGATTCCGAGAAAGGGGGATATCACCGACGACCTGGCAATACGCTCGCTCCGCTCCGGCACCGTGGCGCTCCGCTGTTTTTTCACCGACTGTCACGAAACGGCCGCGGCGGCGACGCGATATACGCGGCGCCGGCGGGGCGGCCGGCCAATCGCGGCGGACCACGCGGCACGTGCCGGCCAATGGCGCGCGCACCCGACGGCAGCCCCGTACAAATGGCGCCCGGCGATTGGCCCGGCCCGGCACATGTCTCTCTCTCTCTCTCTTATCTCCGGTTCCTAGAGATATTCGGCCCCTCGACACGACGCCCCCCGCGGCGTCGGCGGACGCGGATGCGGCGGGCACCAGCGGACACGCAGGCTCGAGCGACGTGTGCGAAATTATTCCCATCGGAGATTGAATTATCGGTAATTGCCTAGCGAGAGGATATGATACGTAAAAGGCGACGCGTCGTTGGTTCAATTGTAAATTGAAGCGCGGGCCCCCGCAGGCGGCCCGAAAACAATTGCTCGTCGTACCGGCCAAACATTAGTCACGTTTGTCACGTTGAGACGACACGCGAAGGTGTCTTTCTGCAGGTGATACATTTATTTTGATCGGTTTTCTGCCCCTACGGCTGTAAGGAGCGACGCAGCGTTTCGGCAACAGCCGTTACGCTAACGTGGCCGATTTCCGTTAATGTAAATTCATGTGCCGGGGAGCGGAGTAATCGTTTGTCACGGAAAAAATTCCACTTGATAAAACAGGAATGCCTTATTGTCAGTAGTTAAGTGAGAAAACTTGTAGACCAGATGTGACTAGAGCGTTGGCAAAACAGATTTCGATCGTTCTACCTTCCCTACCTTTGAAATCAATCTCTTTCCCACCTTCGAAATCAATTTTCACTTGGAATACACGCGTAGATCTCACTTTGAAAAATACGAGAACCCCAAAGGGAGTCAATAAAGATATTATTAACTATAGGAATCACCGATACCTTCCTATATGAATTTCGGCAGATGTAGAACACATATGCATCTTCCATGTATACATATACAAAATATATGAATGTGTTGATGCGTGCACAAATTTATGGAGGACATCGGTGATTCCTAATGCACATATGATTAATGTGAGACAAAATTTCGACAAACGGAGTAACAAAAAGTTGTAGATTCGTCGTCTCAAAGATGATTTTAAATTGTTAAATTGTGTTTCAACAAGGGTTGGCAGCCTACCGAAGATGAAGTAAAACCAAAATGCTCAAAGTACCAGAACGAACTGGATAAAACAGGCTTTAACCCTAACGAGGAAGAAGAAGAAGAAATTGTTAAAAGACCATCTGACACAAGTAGCTGCAAGATTTTCCAAAGAAGAATACTGTATCTTTAACGAGATATTTTTTGGAACGCGTACAGCTATTTATAGCGTATACATATAATATTAATTGATTACAGCAACGTTTATCGAGTAAACACCAACTAACAGTGAGAAGTGATTCGTCGATCGACGTCGAAACGTTGTCGAATCGATCGACGAGTCATTTCCCGCTGGAGTTACATCAATTATATGTGTATTATAATTTCTCATTCTCAACAGTATAAGTGTAATAACTCATGTTGTACACAACAGTCACATTGTTCGGTAGAAAATTATACTATTGATGTTAGGTAACTGCTAGTTGGTGTTTACTGGGTATCGATTAGAACACACGTGGCGTGGCCGAGTTAAATGTAACACGGCCTGTAAAATTGTTTACTTGTACGTTCGAGTTTAACGATCCGAATATTTTGTATTGCTTCGGTGTCGCCTGGACATAATTAAGCCAGATCTACAACGTGCTCTTTGCGTCTAGAAACATGCTACTTTATAGCCGATAAACACGTTAAAAAATTTTGTGCGGGTTGATAAACTGTATGTTATACACTGCACAATCGTGCATTGTCGACAGACTTTTTTTTTAAGCGTATCGATTCGCCTGTATAAAATAGTATGTTTCTCGTTGCGGAAAAACACATTGTAGATTTTAAGGTGGAATTTCACGAGAGCAAAGAGAAAGGCACGTGAGACGAGAACTGGAATTATTCGATAAATCGATATGATGATTTAACACTTAATTATATAATGTCCTCCTCTTACGAAAACACACTTGCATGCTTCTCTTAACACGCCTCAACTTAACTCCTGGCCCGCAAATGTCTGTAAATGAGCCGAAATGTCCTAGAGACGTCATAATAATGTTCTCCCGACAATTGCGCGAGGCGTCATGGAGATTTTCAGACATCCTTTAGGCGCCGTCGTGTCGCCGCGTTCTTTCAAGCGTACGTCTAATAAGAAAATGACCGTCTTCCAGCTTGCGATCGATAAAGTATCGAAATCGACAATATTCCCTGGTGAACACTTTTCTCGGAATTTTCTTTACGAATTGGTACACTTTTCAAAAATACTGAGAAGTCCACTTCGTCTCTTGGAATTCTTCATTAATATTTGAAATTATAGAATGAGAAATTTCAGATTGTTTCAGTATTCATACGGTATGAGAACTTCTAGAAAAGATATAAACTTCTTCTGAAAAGTGTTCCAGTTTGTATAAAAGACTAGAAACTTTTGTAAAAATTATGAAAGTATGAAAAAATGTTACAAATTCTGAGAACAATTTTCACCGGGGTTGTTCTTAAGAAATGCCCCCGGGTAGAACGGAGGCGCTGTGATGACATCAAAGTGACGTTGAGATGACGTTAGTGTAACTTGTGAGCGATGAATAAAGTCATGACGACGTCACCGTGATGCCTTACGAGCCTACCTGGGTAGGCTCAACTTTCACAGTTAACGTTGCTGCAACTATTCGGCCACGTGTGTCATTTTGTCACACCTGTCCTATGCCGTCCAGTCGTCGGCTCGCGGTCGCGCGAAAGTAAATAAATGTAAGAGTTCAAGAACGCGAAACACTATACAATACTGCATCACGATTGGCCAGCAACCGTGTTATCCGAGGGGCTCTAGGACTGGTTAAATATGTACGGTAATTCCTCCACTTTCCGGACTTTCTTTCGCGATGCCTTCTGTTTGGTCTGGGTCTAGCGATGTAGAGCCCAAGTCCGTCGATACCAATCTGGGTCTACCGATACGAATATGTGCAGGCCAAGGTAATATTATCGCCCTGAGATTAACAGTTGGACAAGAATCTCGGGTAAATCTCATGTAAATATATAATTGCATATAACATTAGAGGAAAATTCTCTATGAGATAGGCTTCTAATATGACAGCAGGTTTTCAACATCAAAATTTAATTTTCCATAGATTTCACTCCAATAAATTCACGGTTGAACCAAGCAGAAACTCGGCGATCTCATATTAGGAGCCTGTCTCATAATAGAGGACTTTTCTCTACATTACATTGAATCGGGATAAGAATACTAATGTAACACATGTATTAATTTGTCAACGCACGAGACTGGAAATTAATTCGCGCGTTTTATCGCAATATCTCTGAGGGATTGTCCCGCGTCGCAGAGCAATTAAAAGCTTAAAATAGCTGAAACGCATAGTGACATGTCGTCGCGACTGTTTAAACTGTTCATAACTCAGTGGAGCGATCGACCGTCAAACGGCAATGACGGCGATCCCGATTAATTCTCCCGACGAGCCGAGCGTTCTCCAATTCCTCTTCGACCTCGCCCCTCGTGGAAACAATCGGTATCGGCGATCGATCAATCAATCGGTCACGCTCGCAGCCCGCGGAGCGGATGCGATGGGCGTGTTGTGACAAATCGGTCGTTATGGATACATCGTGACGGTCCGGGGTACCCGGTGTATAGGCTTCTCCCGCACGTCGCCCAGGGTGTGTACGATGATGCGCGTCGACGTGGTCGCGCTATAGGACAATCGCGACAATCGCGACTATGTCGAGGGACCCGCCACACGCCTTCCGGTCCTCTTGGAAACGAGTCGCGCCGCCACCTCCGCCTCTTGCGAAGAGGGTCTAGAGACTCCGGGCGCCTCCGGTTCCTTCCTCCTTCCTCTGTTCTTCGCGAACCGTCTCCGTCGTCTTCCACTGCACACGCGCGCGTCCTCCACCGCTTCGCGTTCTCCACCGCGTCCGCCGGAAGCACGCGAGCTAAGGTGAGTGACGCCGCGCGAAACGCGGAAGGAAGAATGTTGGTCGGAAATTCGTCTCGTCGCGGGTTCTTCCCCTCGTGAGTTCTTTATCCGAGCGAATCGTACTCTCTTTTTTTCCCCCCGCGCGATCGCGGAATATCGGAATTACGAGACCTGGCATTAGCGGAAAAGCGGGATAACATATCAGGTATCGTATTGTCTTTACCCAGCTATGGATAAAATGTAACGATAACTAATGCGACGTGGAGAAAAGTTTGCTTCTTTAGCCATGTTAAAACTTTTTATTGCGATTGTTCAGTATCTATGGCAATTGTTAACGATTTAATCGAGACAAATGATCAAAGGGAGACTAAAAATGGCCCTGATCAATTAAAATACTATAAAGTTCTAGTGCGGTATTCATAGTCTTATATTTAAGATCGTCGATGCTCCGTAACGAATAAAATGTTCTACACAGCGTCTTAGGGTAAACTTAAAACGGTCTTAAATATAAGCTCTGACTACGAATACCGGCCATAAAGTTTACGTAAATTTATTTATGTTAAATTGTAGGTGCAGTAACTAAATTGACGTCGTGACTTAATAATTTTACACTGATTTGTTGAGCATAATACGTGGAATAATCGCTGTACCGGTTGGATGTTGATAACAAATTTTTTTTAACTTCTGGAAGAGAGGAAATTATTAATTTACTTTGATTATCAATGTATCTCTCCGCTTCAATTTATGTTGCGTCTTTACCTTTAAAAATCTCCTATGTTCATTAATGCACACATTCTTTCGTTGTACTGTCAAGCAATGTCAAACACCGTCAAGCATTGTCATGCGATTGAATCACGCTCACAAATTCTATTTTCGGATGAATAACAGCCACGCTCGTAAATATTCACGGGGAAAAAAATGTAGCTGCCTAAAAACTGCATCGTGGTAATTGAATTTCAGTTGTAAAATATGGACAGCTAATATCTGGTTGCGATCATAGCTAATAATTTGCTACTGTGTCTAGTGTATTAGGTGCGACAGCAAACTTGTTTGTTGGTTTAAAAATTTATGGTTACGGCGGCAAAATATGTTTTACCAAATCGTGATTATCTACGGTAGCGAAAATATTGTTCGGTGTTCGGTGTCGTTTACTCACAAATATTTAATGTCGCGATGATAATGCTCCGGTTATCGATGAGGCTAAAACGGGACGAGAAGTCGTGATAATGTCGAAGTGGTTTCGAAATGACTCTTTGATAATCATTTTGATGTAATTTTCTGCTTAGGAACAACAAGTTTTTCTGCAGGCCACGGCGTCGCGAAACGCAAAGTCGATATCGTAACGAGGTCCTTGTACTTCGTGTGTAGTACGCTATGCAAACCTGAAAGACCTGATCAGTGTTACCGCTATTATCTACGACACACCTTGTAACCTACCGCTTTACGATTTAAACATCTTAGTATCGGTCATAATTCTGTAATGATAAAATATTGAGGAGAGCTATAAAGCTTTTTTTTCTAATTTTTTATAACGTCTGAAACAATCTTTTAACAAGTTTCGATACTTGTTATTCGTTATTCCCAGTAGTAAAGTAATTACAAGCCAGCTGAATATGTTTGATAAATGTTAAAACGATTAGAATTGTTAGCAGGTTATTTTTAAGCCGATCAACTTTCGTTTGTACACATTTCGAGCGTAGATCTCGTGTATTTTAGCATTTCGCAGATGAAAGTCGAGGGAGTGTTCAGCAACAATGAGGCTTTTACGCGAAACGGAGCTTTCAGAATAGAACGATGCGATTTACGGTCGCCCATGGCTAAAAGACATGTTATGTGAAATAATTAAAGGCTGTCAACGAACAGTTGCTTCCACACGTGGCGGTCGATGACAGAACACGTGAACGACAATGTCGCAATGTAGAAAACTATGCATTATCATCAAGTAACAAGTTAGCAACAGAGGCGGTTAATCAATAACCCACTTTTCATCCACCTTTGTGCGCATGATAGTGAAAAACCTTATCATTGTATCTCACTACGTGAGCGAAATTGCAGTTTTGTTCATGTGATTATACGCGTATTCAACGTTTCTCATTGATCTTCCAACGTTCGAATCAACTTGAGAGAATGATTTCAGGAAAATTACTCATTAAGATTTCACGTAAATACGAATTTGTAGTCCTAAACGTTTCCATTCTATTTAGTAATATTGATCTTTATATTTGAGCACAATATCAAGCGGAATCTATAAAGCGGACAAAATAAATATCGCGACGAAGGGAAAAAAAGAGTCTCGTCTCCTAAATAATATATTTGGGAACGAGCAAATACGTAGAAGCACGTTCCTTTAGTTCTGATTTCTTTGTTTTCGTAATGCTAGATTTGATTGTCACTTGATCGGGAGCTTTTTACAAAGAGCTCACGTTTGAAATCTTATTCTTTATTTCTGATTCATCTTACGACTTCTTTAGTGTCTAGTTTTAGAATGTAAGTATGCGTGGCACTCTAGTTCCGTCTCTCCCTCTCTTCTAACACACCTGACTCATACTTATAACATGATCGAATGACGTTTCTCTCTTCCAGCAATGTTCAGCATGAGACCACACAGCGCTACGACGCGACAGGAGATGGAGATGATCAACAAGTCCCAACGGGCCGTACATTCCGCCACGGATTGCATGGAGAAGCTGCGTCTACTTTGCCTGGCCAGGGGTGCCAATGGCATTCTTGGTCTGGGCAGGTGAGCACTATTTATCTTTAACTATTTATTGTTAGGCGAAACTACGAAATCAGGCCATGTATCGTTAAAACTATTTATCATTATGTTCGTCATAACTAGGCCATGTCCGATTCATTCCTTTTTATTCCCTTTCTCGTGTAATTAGCTATTTTGATCGATATTTCTTTCCCACAATAAGCTCTTTCTTAATTTAAAAAAATCTGTATTTTTATAATTGTAATTATTTATAATGGTATGATGAAGATATAACTTTTAATTGTGTTTCTCAGAAGAAATCGTTCTTTAAGAAAGGATTTCAATTATATATATATCCTAAAACATTAATCCCGTAGAAGTTAAACTGTAATAATTTCAACAAAATGCATGTATATTTAAGCGATGTGTTGATAAAATTTTTTAAAATGCGGAAAAAGCGATGCCTGCGCCATTTGCGTTGCACGAGATAAAAGAGATAGAACGAAGTTACAAGTTGATGCAAAATCTAATGTTAATCATTAGCAGATAAGATTCCACATCACGAATGTGTGCGTGCAATGATGATACGGTTTTCGTCTAATTCACACGTGAATCAGCCTCAGCATCGCTGTCCCCGACCTTCGTGTCACCATGTAACGATATGCTGAGACGTCTGAATACTCCGCTTATATTTTTTCCAGGGTATTCCGTCGTATGGATGATGACGGCAACAAAAACTTAAGTCTCGAAGAGTTCAAAAAGGGCATAGAGGAGACAGGCTTGGAACTCTCCGACGACGAAACTAACGAGCTCTTTCAGAAATTCGACAGCAATGAGGACGGAAACATCAGCGTCGATGAGTTTATCGTCGGCATAAGAGTGAGTTCGCGTGCTCTCCTCAATTTTACTCGACGTTTCATTTTATTTCGGGCAAGAATCTAATTGTACTTGCGGAGAAACGCTTTCTGCGTCGTTCAAACGAAGAATTGTATAAAAATTGTCGACCACGATATGGCCATGTAATCGCGGGGGATTAATAAGGTTAATAAAATAATTTTTATGTATATTTTTCAGCCACAGATGTGTCAAAGCCGTAGAAACGTAGTGGACCAAGCGTTTCAGAAACTGGACAAAACTGGTGACGGTCGAATCACCATCGACGATCTACGAATGGTTTATAATGTAAAATATCATCCGCGTTATATCAGCGGTGAGGAGAGCGAGGAGAGTATTTTAAATAAGTTCCTCTCGAATTTCGAGCAAGGAGGCAACGTGGACGGTATCGTAAGTATAATAATTTGACGATGCTTCTCACATATTAAATGAATTAAATCGCTGAACTTGTCTACAATGACAACATTATAATTCTCCTTTTCGCTCTACAGGTAACGGAGGAGGAATTTATGAATTATTACAGCGCTATCAGCGCAAGTATAGATAACGACACATATTTCGACCTGATGATGCGCAACGCTTATAAACTGTAGACCTCGATCTGTCTGTTTGCATTTCGCGAGATAACACATCGATCCTGTCTGTTCCACTGGTGGTCGCTGTGCGCATCAACAACTGTATAAAAGTCGCTATTTTCGCTAAACTAATGCGTAATGAATTAATATCGTTGTCACGTTATCAGGAATGACCTTAGTTTCTCATTAGACTCGCACGTATTCCGCTAATTGCAACCTAGCAAAAGCATGTATTGTTATACTGTGTCCAATATTAATTAATGCGTGAGTGCCGTTCGAGTGATGATGAAATTAAAACTGATATACATATATCTAGTTAATTAATCGATAACACCCACCGGAATGTTTCCGAACAGGAAGAAGAAAAAGTGGTGCGTGCAAATCGACCTTAGAAGGTTTCTTAAAAATTAATCCGTCACTCTCGCTAATTTTTATTTTCCTGCCGAGCTGCTCAGTCGCCGGACCGCGGTAAACTCGTTTGAACTATGAAACTTTTGAACTGTGTAAAGTTTGTACGACCAACTTGTTAAAACAAAAGCGAGAGATACGCGCCCAACAGTCATTTTCTTCTTCTTTCTCGACGCTGTGTTAGCTATTTATAAAGAAAGTTGGTTATAGGGACCAATTCTACAGCGCAAATCTCGCGGTGGAGGCGCACCGCGCGTTCGCGTTTTTGTAAGTTAATTCCTCTTTGTAATCTTACATTTATTGTTCTGCGAATAAATATTATACGATTATGAAACGGTTTGACCTCTTGCACGCATAAACTTCTTGCGGTTTCGATGTAGCGCGATTCAAAGTGAAGCGTTGTATTCATCTGATTCATTTTATAAAGCACAGTAAAAATGGAATATAAAACAAGGACTGGGAACAGAAACGCATTAGCTCATGCGATTAATTGGAAGGATTTTAATATGCATCTTTTCTCGGAAGAAAAAGTGCGTAGCAAGGTACGATCTAATCAGCAATTAAATTATTGTACTTTAACGAAAAGAGTAATTATCAGACTAAGGCGCGGTTTCACCAACGTCGCTTAACTTTAAGCTTAATTCATTCTTTGTCTCTTTTCAACTGTTACTCTAGAAAGAGGCAAACACGAATTAAACTAAGATTAAAGTTAAGGGACGTTTGGCGAAATCGGGCCTAAAAGAATGTCGAGCGGTACAAACAGGGCTGCAATTAATAAAAGCAGACAAGCTTAATGTTCTCCTGGGAATGAGAGCGACGCTTCCGCGACATGTTCCGCTTACATAGCATTCTCGAAATTAGTATTAAAGCGAACGTTTGTAGACACGATACATATAATGCCAATACGGTATATACTTATTCTTTCCTGCCAATATTTCTTTTCTACGAAACACCTTCGTCACTTTGTACATAACACGTGTAGCTTCATTCGAATCCAAGGTTCAATATATGAGATTCTACCGTAAAGCGATCTCTGCTACGTGTCACGGCGTAAATAACGATAAGTAATCGCGTGCTCGGTTTATAATCGTTACGTAACCAACGATTAACTGCTATAATTAAATGTGTCTTTGTTCCACACGTATTGCTCCAGGAACTGGGCTTTGGAGAAATTCCCACAAGGACAACCGTGTGTTTTCGCAATGCAGAAATTTCAATTTCAATTGCTTAAATTTGGAATACAAATAAATCAGAGGAAACGCATCTCTTACGTGATGTGGCAGTTATGAAAAGCCAGAAACCGCAGTTCCTAAAAATTATCGGTTTAGAACATTACTGCTTTATTGAATTATATAACGTCCGAGAGTTATTTAATAATGGATAGTGTGACACAAAAAATACGTACAAAAAAAAATTGCATCGGCCGGGAATCGAACCCGGGCCGCCCGCGTGGCAGGCGAGCATTCTACCACTGAACCACCGATGCGCGATGTACACAATGTAACTCGGAATACATATGAAGTAGTGACGTAAACTAGATTTTCAAGTTGACAATATATGTTTTTGCAATGCCGCGCTTACAAACGCACAACTTTTACAATTTGTATCGACTAGCAGATCGCTCTAGAACACCCGTTGCATGTGGTGACTAAATTTCAGTTGTAAAATACGAACAGCTATTTAATTGCGACGGCCAATACTTTGCTACTGCGCCTATTGCATTAGGTGCGACGATAAACCGTTTGCTGTGCTTTAGAACTTTACAGTTAATGCAGCAAAATATTTTTCACGTATCAAAATTACAATTCGAGATAAAGAATTTAAACAATAAGATGCATGAGGCTCTAGCGTGGAGACACAAGTACGAAGGAGTAGGAGCCCACGACAGGATGTTAGTGACTAAATAATTTTAGTTTTAAGAATTTAATGAAGTTTACAAGACTTGTGTGACGAACGTAAAAATTCAAAGGCCTAAAGGAGCCGTGACAGGATGTTAAATGTCTAAACGATTCTTATTCTAAATGTATTGCGAAAAATATTACCTCAGCCAGGACTTGAGCCTGGACTCTCTCACTAGGCGGGGCGTCCAAGTATTTAATTTCAAGTCAATCGCGAAAAAAAAAAAGTCCTCCCCGGCGGGGAATCGAACCCCGGTCTCCCGCGTGACAGGCGGGGATACTGACCACTATACTACCGAGGACTTCACGTAAACGTACCTAAAATTTGCGGTACATATGCGACAGAGACGCGCATTCGTCCAATAAATGGGACTCGTTTAATTTTACCAGTTAACAAATTTCCACTGTCGTCACTCGGCAGATCTAACGTGCGGATACGTTTGCGTGAAATTCCTACGGCGGTCAAGACAAAACACGGTCCGTCGCGGTCGGCGGTGGAACTTCGTGCGTCGCGCGGATGCGAGATGGCGCGTGCGTACATAAAACTGGCGCACGCGCCGAGCGCGAACTCAGTAGTAGAGCGATCGTCGAAGGGGTTAGATTCGCGCGCACCGTTCCGCTCCCCGTCTGTCTCTCCCTCTTCTATCTCTCGTCACCTGGCTCGGTCTCTCTTTCTCTTTCTCTCTTCGGTCTATCCACCTTCCCCTCGCAGCCTACCCCTCCTCTCTATTGTTACCAGCTAACGGTGGACACGTCTCGCGCGGCCGTAATAAAGGATCGGCGACAATAAATGCGCTGGCCGCCCGCGGGGACGCGCATTTCCGTACTTTGTGCCGCGTGAGGAGTGCACGCGCGTGGTGCGTGGTCCCGAGGTGTGCGTGCGCGCGTGGAACGTTCCGTCGTGCGTGAAGCCGACCCGTGTCCGTGTCGCGGATACACAGCGATACCTTCGACTCGCCTCTTCTTTCGCTCCCCCTCCGCGGAAGGTTCCCGTCCGTAGCCAAAATGAAGCGCACCACGTTCACTGCCGTAACGTTACTTCTCCTCTGTAAGTTTAGGTTTACCTCGTCTCGGTCCAGGTTGCCCGATTCTTTTTTCCTTTCCGTCCGAGGTCCACAGCCACGACGGCGACGTGCGACTCGCGGCCGACTGGAATTGGCGCCAATCGGCGGATGAAGACCGTTTCCTCGTCGCCGTTTCTTTAGTTAATGCGTACATGCGTTTTGGTTGGATACAGGGGGTCAATTCTGTATCTCGCAATATAGTGAGAATGCCAAAAGTTTGCGGCTTTGGCTCTTTCTAAGAGCACGGGGCGAGGAAGAGGCAGAACTATTCACTTCAAAGGACCAATCTACAACGTGCCGTCTGCGTCTAGAAACATTCCACTTCGTAGCGTTTCGATTTGCTTACATAAGACCGAATGTTTTCAGACGCAAAGAGTACATTGTAGATTAGGCTGTTTACATTTGTCGTACGACGAATTTTTCAAGTGTGTCAATTGGCTGCGGAATAGTAAAATTCGCGAGTATCTAGAAGCCAATCGACACGCTTGAAAAATACGTCGTACGGCAAATGAAAATTTTAGGCTTGGTGTTCAGCGAGTTCTCTTTTTTTAGACGGCGCAAGGAAGCCGCTAGAGGGATAATCGGTGGCGTAGCAACAGTAAGCCGGAAAAGACCGCTATCGGAAACAATGATAAGCGTCATCCGCGAGAGAAATCCTGCGAAATTGTTACGAAAGCACGCGAGGAAGTCGAATTAGATATCTAACGCTTTCTGCAGATACCGCAGGAAATGATGGACACATGTTATTTTGCTGCGTGACGCGCGACCCTAGGATTATTTTAAACTTGCGCTCTCTTACGCCGATCGAAGAGCGGGACGGCGATCCACCGGAAATGCGCGTAACGTTCGACTTCTTGTGACGCTACAAACCTGCAATACTCCGCGTTTTATCTAATCGTTTCGTGGAACGCAAGCCCCGTTTTCAAAGCTTAACAGGACTCGGCGATTCCGCGTGCATTCCATTCCTGAAAAAAATAAAAGAACACGTCGACAGAAAATTTAATAAAGGCCAGAAATAATTCGGTCGTGAAAGGATTGAAACGTTTCACCCGAACTGCAAGCCTGGTCTACGTGTTTTTTTTTTGCGTCGTCTAGAAACAGTATTTTGTAGCCAATACGTTTAGAATGTGTGCAAGTTGGTCAATTGTACATTGTCGATAAATTTCTGGAGCGTATTGATTTGCTTTGTTTAAAAGAATTTGTGCAAGTCGCTAAATTGCGCGTTGTCGGTAAATATTTTAAGCGTACTGATTTGCTTATGCAAAATAGGGTAAAGTGAATTGCGGATCGACAATTTGATGAGTCGCTAATTAAGCGACACAAAACCACGTCGATGCCTCTTGTGATATCGACAGTACTGCACAAAGTAAATATATGAAAGAGCAAAATTCAAGTGAACCACTCTAAAGTATCGCTTATTAGCGACTCGTCAAATTCATGATCCGCATCTGGTATCTGGGACTCGAGTCCTCGATTCATTTGAAGGAGAAACGTATGCGAAAATTCTTGCAGAAAAGCTGCAAGTTGACTGGCTATGTGACTTAGGTGCCTCATTTAACGAAAGGAGAGTTTGCTTATTGTCGCCAGTAATGATTAAAAAGTGAGACGGGGAACTTGTAGTCAACCCAACTGGCTTTCATAATTACATTTGTTGTTGACTTGCAACACCACTTGAAAAGGACCCAAAAAATATAGGGTCGGAACGTTGTGTAACAAACTAATAAAATAACTAGCCAATTGGGTTGACTATAAGTTTCTCGTCTCAATGCTTCATTTCAGTTTCTTTATCAGGAGACAAACCACGGAGGGAGATAAGTAGCTCCGCGAAGATGCTGGTGATAGCATTGTTTGCCGCCGGTTTTGTAGATTAGACGTCAAAGGTCACTTCTGTTATATACATTAAACGGCACAAATGTGATTAGGCGACGCGAAAATTTTTCGAACTCGAAATCTGAATCGTGCATATCTCTCTCTCTCCTCTTGTTCTCCAATACGATTCGCGGAAGCCGCTTGTCTTGATGACACGGACACCTCGGCGGATTATCGCGTTCGAGTAACTCGATTGCATTCTCTTGGAATGTCTCAAAGATAAACCCGTGGTTATCATATTCCTTACGTACTAATAAGACGATCGCACACGGTACGTTATTGCGATGATGTAATCTCGCTGAATGTGAAATTTCGGCCTTGATCGAAATTGCCAGTTGGAATTGCGCCGCAAGTCGCAGGGTTGATCGGTTGACTCGGTCATAAATTGATCTCTTTCGAATAAAAAGCGCCTAATTTCTAAAATATCGAGATATGAAACGACCAGTGGATACTCGCCATTTTATTGTAATAATGCTCTAGTTGCTGACATCGGAACAACGGCATTGTCCAAACGTATCCCACAATTAAATTAGAAAAGGCGATGTTTTAATAAAATATTTGTATTAAATTTGTTTGCATCCAAATAATTAATTTATATAATTCTTGTTTGGATGACGCTTATACTTGGCGTCTTTTTAACTCTTTTTTTATTAAAAAGGGTTATTTTTTAAGGTCGAAACAACGGCGTTGTCAAAATTTAAATCCATTTGAATTGCGAAAGTGTGGCAGCTTTACAGCCAATCGCGGAGAAGTCAAATGGACTCGCGTGGTACGTGGTTAAATTATTTGGCATAATTGTCTTAAAAATTCGCCACTATTTGTACATAGTATACTGTCGCTATATCGGTTCGCGATTGATCAGCAAGTTTTTAACGCAGTGCTCGACGCACTTTGTCCTATTGAGTACGCATGTAAATGAGACGCTCGAACCTTTTTGTATCAAGCAAACATCGGGCAGCACCTCATTATCTTTGATGTATCCAAGTATATCAGGTTACAGCAGAGAGTTGGCGTATTTTCCCCGACTGGTAGCCTGACATTTTACTAAATGACCGTCGACTTTTTTTTATTAAATTCCATAAATTTCTAAAATTAAATATCTCGTCAAACTGGATACAGTTTCTTTTTTTAAAAGCGATAAGTAAAACGCCACTCTTGAAGTCACTCTTAAATTACTTGGAGATCTCGCGTTCGTGAACGCTTTAAGCCCGTATCAGACTACGGATTGGGATTGGGATTAGATTGAAATTTAACCAATCACAGTAAAGTTTACTAATCT